TCTCCATGCAGAGATTGTTCTTCTACCCTATACCATTTCCTCCAGAAATAGATACATTCCAGTGCAGGACAAGAAGATTCACTGTAGATATCTCTGGGGAAAAATGTCCCCTGTGTATTATCTCACAAAGCCAATTGACTTGACTCATATGTTTTCCTCTTCCTGAAGAGATTTTTAAATCACTCATTGATAAGAAAGTGCAGTTAATCTCCCATCAATGGCTTAATTTAAGGACTACCATGAAAAATAAAAAAGCCATAAAGCCCATGCAGTTTATACTATCTCTGCAAGATACTAAATTTAGTGTGAGATTTTCATACTAGAAAATCTAGTCCAGACACACATGGACTTGCAGAATTATTTATTTTTCACAAAATCAGAAATATTTGTAATCTCCCCTAAATCTTCTAGGGCATATGAGCAACCATCTTCTTTCATCATCAAAACAGAATGAGACGGTTTTGGGAAAGGAAAGACACCTGGCAGATTGCCATCTCTACTCCTTCAGAACATTTCTATGCTCCGAATTCACTGTAAAGAGAGTTTTCCCTCAAGCTGTCACTGTAGAACACTTTTCTTATCATTTTCAGAGATTAATCTATTATTTCTTATTCTTATTACACTGCTACCTCAATATAACGCCACCCGATATAACACAGTTTCACCAATAACGCGGTAAGATTTTTTGGCTCCCGAGGACAGCGTTATATCAAGGTAGAGGTATATTTCAAAGTCCTCTAGAAACTATATCCTAATGTCCTCCATGAATCAGTCTTTTAAACAAGACACATTTCCAAAGAAGCAGCAACAAGCAGATAGTATCCCTTTCGTGTTGGTAGGTTGACAAGCTTCTTTGCACAACTCAGCAAGGCACTTAAGCATGTGAGTAACTTTAAGCAATGCATAGTCCCATAAAGTTCAATGCAGCTGGAGGGCCTTCAAGAAGAAAGTGACATGGTCTGATCAACAGGCAAGGAATGCTATTACCATTATTGGTATTACACTAGTGCTTAGAGCCCCAACTCAGATCAGGGCCCCATTGTGTTAGGCTACGTGCAGACAGACAGGAAGAGGCAGTCCCTGCCCTATGCTGTTAACAATTTAAACTGACAAAGGGCAGGGTGTGTGTGGGGGGGGGGGGGAAGAGAGGCACAGATAGTATGTTTATACTGCATTGTGTGGAAGTAGAGAAAGAACTGACAGGGATTTGAAGGGGATTTCATATTCTTATGTGAGCAAGAGTCAGGCTAGCTGTAACCCTAATAACGCGAGATTTGTAGAAGCGAGGATTGTGTGAGGCGAGTGGGAAAGAACTGTGTGAGAAGTTGTTGCGACCTTGAGTTAGATAAGTATGGAATGTAGACTATAGTTTAAATTGGTGAGAAAAATAAGATATCAGGATGACCTATGTATAAACAAAATGCAGCTGTTGCCCATTATTGTTTGTAACAAAAGGTATAAATGCTTGCTGTAATTGTCTGGGGAGAGACCTGTTTTGCTCTCTCCCTCCATGCAATTGCTAGAGATAATAAAGTATCTGACTTGCTGCACCCAACCTGAGAGTGAGAACTCTGTTTTTCTCCGGCAATTGTAAACCCAGGTCAATGGGACTCGAGCTTGTGAACTCAGTGTTTCCAAGCCCATGCTTGAGCATCCACACTGCACTGTAAGCCTGGGCTTACAATTGCTGGGTCTGGGTCTCTCAGCCATGCTAACATAGCCATACTGGAGTACACAGACCTTCTGACTCAGCTCTCAGGTTTGAGCTGCATCCACACTGCCAAATGACAGGGGGACTCAGGCTCCGATCTACTTCCCCAGCAGGGTCCTAGGACTCACTTCAGACTGATTTGTGTGTGGATGGAAGAGGGGTTTGGGCTCAAACCTGAGTCAGAGCCTGGGCTTAGTGTGCAGTGTACACAAGCTAGAGAGGTGAAGTGACTCGCCAAAGGTGCAAGTGTAATATAGTAGAACCTCAGAGTTACGAACACCTCGGGATTGGAGGTTGTTCATAACTCTGAAACGTTCGTAACTCTGAACAAAACATTCTGGTTGTTCTTTCAAAAGTTTACAACTGAACACTGACTTAATACAGCTTTGAAACTTTATGAGGCAGAAGAAAAATGCTTATTTTAACCATCTCAATTTAAATGAAACAAGCACAGAAACAGTTTCCTTACCCTGTCAAATCTTTTTTCTTAAACTTTCCCTTTATTTTTTTAGTAGTTTACATTTAACACAGTACTGTTCTGTACAGTATTTGTTTTTTTGTCTCTGCTGCCTGACTGCATACTTCCGGTTCCAAATGAGGTGTGTGGTTGCCGGTCAGTTCATAACTCTGGTGTTTATAACTCTGAGGTTCTAGTGTACTAACTGACAGTGCAATGCCATCCTACTCTGACTGCGAAGTATGTGGTGATGGTGGTGGTGGTGGAGGAGAGGGTGCAGGAGAAGCCAAAGAGCCATCGTTCTATTCACCTCTCGGGGCTGACAAGGCACTCTGCACAGCCAGTATGTGGTCAGGACTCATTGTATTGTGAGCATGGCCAGCTGGAGATGCCTGGAGCCAGGAGAACATTCGGTCTCAGTCCAGTCTTATCCTCTACCACGCCTGTGGAAATTTCAGAGGAAATCCTCTCTGGAGTGGAAGCTGGTCCTGTCCAGTACCCATGGGGGTGGAGAGAGGGCACATCCTCTGAAATGAGGGCCCAGCTGGAGGCTTAGGTCTTGACCCAAAGCCCACTGAAATCAATGGGAGTCTTTCCACTGACTTCAATTAGCTCTGGATAAGGCCCACAGAGCATTCCCGAGTATTTTTAAATGATTATTTTTAGGTGGAGAACAAAATGAATCTGGTTTCAAATGTGATGCCAGATAGCACTGATTCATCCAGACAAGCACCAAAGGTGAAATGGCAGATGCTTGGAAACACCCGATCTCTGAGAGTCCTCTATGGCCTCAACATCATCTGCATTCATGTTTTCTCCAGAGAAGTTCTCCACCCAAATGGCTGAGCTACCATCTCCTTTCTGGCTGTGGGGCCATTATGGATCTCCAGCAGAAACTATCCAAGGCCACCGCTGCTTTGCTAATAGTGTGGGGAGGGAATGAATAAATGAGAGTATATGCTATGTGAAGAAAAATTACTTCCAGAAGCAAGAGAGCTGTTCTAAGATAAACACCTGTCTGAAGTTTTGGTCAAAAAAGCAAACAGCATGTTAGGAATCATTAAAAAGGGGATAGAGAATAAGACGGAGAATATATTATTGCCCTTATATAAATCGATGGTACGCCCTCATCTCGAATACTGCGTACAGATGTGGTCTCCTCATCTCAAAAAAGATATACTGGCACTAGAAAAGGTTCAGAAAAGGGCAACTAAAATGATTAGGGGTTTGGAACGGGTCCCATATGAGGAGAGATTAAAGAGGCTAGGACTCTTCAGCTTGGAAAAGAGGAGACTAAGGGGGGATATGATAGAGGTATATAAAATCGTGAGTGATGTGGAGAAAGTGGATAAGGAAAAGTTATTTACTTATTCCCATAATACAAGAACTAGGGGTCATCAAATGAAATTAATAGGCAGCAGGTTTAAAACAAATAAAAGGAAGTTCTTCTTCACGCAGCGCACAGTCAACTTGTGGAACTCCTTACCTGAGGAGGTTGTGAAGGCTAGGACTATAACAGAGTTTAAAAGAGAACTGGATAAATTCATGGTGGTTAAGTCCATTAATGGCTATTAGCCAGGACGGGTAAGGAATGGTGTCCCTAGCCTCTGTCTGTCAGAGGGTGGAGATGGATGGCAGGAGAGAGATCACTTGATCATTGCCTGTTAGGTTCACTCCCTCTGGGGCACCTGGCATTGGCCACTGTCGGTAGACAGGATACTGGGCTAGATGGACCTTTGGTCTGACCCGGTACGGCCTTTCTTATGTTCTTATGTTTTTATGTTTTATTTCTAAATGTCAATCTTTTCCAAAGTCTGGGCATTTGAATCCAGGCTATGTGGCAAAATTCAAAGAGGTCACTTTCCTGCCAGGCAGGAATCGAACTAGGCAGCTGAGAAGGAATGAATAATGAAAGGCTCCCAAAAAGAGTGGAGATGCTTCAGTTCAACTGATTGCCTTTCCTGCCTATTGCTGCTGTTGATCCTGTGCCTTGTGATGTGCGCAGCATGTTTCAGAATATGCCTTAACCAGCCAGGGACGTAATGGCAGGGGGAGGCCTGGGGCAAGTTTAGTCAAATTTCTCTGTACTATATAAAGGCAGAAAATTGATATATTAGTATTTCTACAGTGTCATAGGTGTGCACAGTGCTGTACAAACATATGCTGATATAAAAAGGCAAGTTCCCCATCATCAAGAGCCTTCAATAGAAGTGATACAAACGAGGGTGATGGAATGTCTCTCCAAAAGCAAATGAAACATCTATTCAAAACTCTGCTGTAAAAAACCATCTACTCTGTCTCACATTCTGGCCATGTTCAGCCCCTCATCAAATATCTTCACTGGATTCGCATTGCATCCTGTATCAAAATTCAAGCTCATTTTGCATCTCACAGTTTATCTCCTTCCTACCTCCTTCTGCTCTCTCACACACCTTCTTTGCCGTTTCAGGATATTGATGGTTGCATGGCTTTTGCCATTGTGTTGGCAGCTACACTGGCAAAATAAAAGAAGGACTCCTGCTACAGCAAGTAAACCTCCCATTTGTGCAATCTGGATAGAAATGCTTACATACCTTTATCTACTTTGTACAAACATAAGGTAGTCACTGAGAGAGTTCCTTTGCTAGGATCCACAGTATGGTGTCACTCTACAAACCATGAAATATCAAGACTCTAAATACTGCTCACCTCTCCATGAACCGAAAAATATTAATGAGAAGGTGCTGATGGGAATATCTGAAGTATAACAAGTCATAATCAATAGCTTATCAGGGATGGATAGTAAAATGTCACTGATGGCTGCCAGAACTAAAGCTCAGCATTTCAACGTACCCATTACTGAGACGTCATATTCTATCAGCAGAGTCGCTTCCTGTCCACACTGTTTCAGAATACTCATGGCTTCAGCATGTGACGTTCCAAGGAGTCGAATTCCATCAACACTCAGCAACCTGTCACCAGGTTTGATTGTGCCCTCTCTGAAGAGAAATTAAAGGAACAGTCCTTATTAATTTAATAGCATGTGGTTTGGAGATAATAGCCACTTATGCAAAGCAATTCACTCACGCCCTTCCTGACATCTATCCCACTTGACTTTACTCTTAACATTTACTTTGACAGTAAAAACGTTCAGGGGCCATTGTGAAAAGGAAATTGCTTTAATCGGAAAATCAGTGATGGGAAAAACTACCCATCACTAAATAATCAAGTCACAGTGGACTGCTATTAGGTATTGGTTTTGTTACAATATATGCGCTCTCTCTCTCTCTCTCTCTCTCTCTCTCACACACACACACTGATGAAAAAGCAGATTGCTAACTGTACGGGATCACCTCCTGATTTACATCCCTCAGCCCATTTGGACAGCTCTCTTCTTCCCCACCTGCTATCTGAAAGAAAATTGGCTAGCAATGCCATCCTCTCTCCAAGGTATATATCATAACATATCCTGAATTATTCTTAACCCAGGTCTCAGAGAAAAGGGCAGGGAGGAAGGAAAACAGAAAAAAAAAAGACAAAGGATCTCTTGAACATTTGTTATCTATTAATTTTAGCCAGAGACAAAATTCCTGAGCAGAAGCCAGAGAACTCAGCATCCTTTAAAGAAACTGCGTTTAGTTCCTTTAATGTTTTAAGGACACCAATGCCATTTCTGAAAATGTAATTGACATATAGAATCACTTATCAAAATAGCTTTTTTCTTCTTTTTTTTACAGACATGAGATTTATATATATGTATATACAAAGAGAGAGAGAGAGAAAATATGCTAATAGGGCCACATCCTAAACTCCTTACTCAGGACTGATTGAGTGGGAGTTAAGCCTGAGAAAGGACTGAGCAATAACTCAGGTCAGGACTGGCTCTAATATTTTCCCAGAAAAAAAATATAATATACATCTAGATCATTTGTTTCTGTAGTGCAAGAGAAATACATTTCAAAATACAGTATGGAATTAAACTGTACATTAAGGTTGCACTGTGCATCAAAAGGTTGTTTGAAAGCTGTGAAGAGCATGCGATAATCCCATCATAGGATTTTTAATTCCTCTCTCTCTCTCTGTGTGTGTATATATATATATATATATATATATATAAAGTGTGTGACAGGCAATTCTGAAACAAGCAGCTTAGTCTCTTAATTAAAATTCATGCTATGTCATCATGCACCAACCTCCTATGGTTGCCTATTGTTATTACAATGAAATGCATAATTTTTTAATTTCAAAGGATTGGGTTTGAACGTGTCTATTGTACTTCACAGATGTCTGTCTTAACTTCTGTCCCAGACAACCTAACCTTTCTCTCTTTCTCTCGCTACAGAGGAAAATGAATTGTACCTGTCAGCAGGCCCTCCAGGTCTAACACATGTTATTACAACAGGACGAGATTTATTTCTGTCATCATGTGCTCCACCTAGAAAAGGGAATAAAACACCCTTGTACTCCCTTTTTCTTTTTTTTTAAATGAAAACTCATTTCCAAAATGCAATTCCAAAGGCTTGCAGCATGCACACTTACAGACTGGTTAGAAAAGCAAGAACCATTAAGCCACTAAAATACACCTACATGGCTGTACATGTGGAGTAATGCTATGCTAGTTTATAATAGAGGGGATTTCTACTCTACTGCTCCTTTAGAATAGGATTTGTTAAATGAGGATATTCATTTCTTAAAACCCCCCACAAATTCATTCCCCTTTTTTGTTCTCAGTATGCCCTCTTTACGCCTGTATGGACATTAGCACTAGGTATCCTGAATACTTTGCTGCACCAGGAAGGGAAAAATCTATTCTTAGAATAGCACAACGGTGACCACTGGGAGACCCTACACATTGAAAAAGACCCAGGACACTGCTTTCCCTGAGGTTAGGGTTCTGTTACAGGTTCCAGGGCCTGCAATGTACAGGACGACAGACTAGATGATCATGATGGTCCCTTCTGACCTTGAAGTCTATGAGCTAATAAACTCCCACAATTTACCATAGGAGTATCATTGTCTAAAAGCTGCATAAAGATTTTCTGTTCTCTAATTCAGCGTGAAGACTCTCATTCTACTATAGAGACTGGGGATGTCACTAAACTATAAATCAAATTTTAATAGCTAGCTTATACAAATAGTGTATAAGATATCTCCTTTAAGAGCCCTGATCCCATTGCAAATGGCAAACTTCCCATCTACTGCACTGGGACGAGGATTTGGCCTTGTGTGACCCAAAGTCAGGTATGTTCTTGGTATTCATTACTATTCATTACTATTGCTCCATAAATAAAAATTTATACCAGTTCATAAACACAGTTCATTAAGTACAGAAGAAATCATGCATTAATCACACAGGATTTACAAACTGTAGACAACAAATCTTGAAATATGATTGCACAGTATCATAAAAACTTATTGCTATTTTGCTTGTGCTCGTCTAGAAATTCAGACTATTCATGTTTAGGGATAACTTACCTCGTATTACAAACCCAAAAGTGTTCCCTTCTTTATGTAAAGTAACTTCCACCGTTCTAAATATGACACCCGATCCTTGTACAGCTGAAAGATTTAAAAGAAAAGCTTTGTCTGATTATACTCATAGCTCTACACTGCTTCCAAGCAAGCTCTTGAATTTCTGATCTTACACTTGGAAGAGTTCAACTACAAAAAATAGTTTTTAACAGCTGTAATTTAACTACAACCCATGTTCTTACTGAGAACATTGTGGATCAGATCAATTTACAATTTAGCTAGTATAAATTGGCATAGACCCACTGAGTTCAATGGAGAGCAATTCCAATTGACAGCCACTGAGGGATCGGGCTCTCTGTGTTTGAAGGTATGTCTACATTGCACACTCCTTTTGGCAGTGTGTAGAGTACATACACTACACACCCACCTAGCACAGGTATAAATAGCAGTGTAGATGGGGAGGTACTGCCTAGGCGAGCAGATAAGGACATGCCTGAACCCTGTAGGTATGTACCCTACTTGCTCAGGCAGTGCTTCCCAGCTGCTGCCACCCCCCAAAATCCCCCCGCTCACTGCTATTTTTTGCAGTGTAATGTCCTGCTGCCTTTCTGCTGCAGGAGTCCTTCCCTATTGCAGGAAAAGGGTACAGCAGTTCCTTGTGGCGGAGAAAGGCTCCAGCAGCAGGGAGCTGTCAGAGCCTTTCCCCGCTGCAATGAAAGACTCCAGCAGCAGGGAAAGCCTTTGGCAGGGCAGAGGCAGCGGAAAGGCTCTGGCAGTTCCCCACTGATGAAACTGTCCTCGCTTCCTCATCCCCGACAGAGCCTTTCATTGATGCGTGTAGCTACAAACCACAGCATGGACACAGCCTGCTTTTCACTACGGTGTGTTGTTATACATACCCTATGTGCCATGCCATGGGTGTGCAGTGAGGCACAAAGATGTCAAGTCAATTGCTCGAGGTCAGTTAAAGAGTCAGTTGCTCAACCCAGAATCCAGGAACCTTTACTCTTGTTGCTCAAAAGGTAGAGTCAAGATTTTTAGGCTACAAACCTCACCAACATTAAGCTTATTTTTTTGACAATGCAAAATCAGTTGTTTCCAGAGTCATGCTGACATCAGTTGAAAAGGCTGGTGCACAAACCAAGATGGTTGGGGACAATAAGCCATTGTATGAAAATCGAAGATGATGTTGTTAAGAAACAAAAAGCCATTTACATTTAATTGCTAATAGAAAAAACTTTGGAAGAAGTGGGGAATTCACTGTTTCCAAAAAACTCAAAAATCAACAGGAGAAACATTTGCAAGCTTCTAACAAGGTCTTACAAACAAGGGAGCACACAAGGAATTAAAAAATTACTTAATAGCATTGTTCCATGTTGGACTTGCAATTAGCAATGCTGCAGTGTAAATAGTTAAAAGGTCAGGATGCTGTTAATAAAGGCCATACTAAAGGTCTCTGTGGACAGAGGGGACAAAACGTTGGTGCATCCACGAAATACAGAGAGGGGTCCCTCACCTACATATTGGGTTCTGTGCAAAATGGAAGGTGTGGGCAAGAATAATGGGATTACTACACTCTGCAGCACTGCCCCATCACAAGGTTTCTGTGAGTAAATTAATGCTTACTCCATCATTACTACTCCACTGGCGGGTGCCCCCACAGTCTGAAACCACAACTACCCTATCTCCCCCAGCAGTGCAGTTTCAGCATACTGGGGGGATGACAAGGTCTGGAAAGCATAAGCTTATATACAGAAATCTTCCTACTATATTACAAGGCATAGTACATATAATAGTCAGTGGATGTCGACAGGGATAGCTAGGATGCTATTATTCAGTCTCGTTACCAGCTACACTTGCACAAAGGTCAGAAATTCTGAAAACTTAAATGAATGGTTATGGTTACCACTGTAATGTAGCATGATAGACACATATACCAACAGTACCTAAACTGTAGAAAGTAGATTTGGTTAGCTGCAAAAGAAAAAAAATGAGAGCAAAATAACCACATCCACTGTTTAATTTATTTAATTAATTGAAATATCCTAATTCTGAACATGAAGTTCAGTTATCCTCAACAACCACTAATCAACAATAAGCATTAAAGCACATTAAGGAAGTTGCCAAAAGTTCATAAAAACAAAGAATTTCATAAGGAGAGTTAATTGCCAGCAGCTAGAACACAATGGGGTTTATTAACCCTTGCCCCTTCAGGCACCATAATGCATCAGGAATGTAGAGAGATCAATGGGATGCTCTGCTTCCAGTACGCTGCAACCCTTTGTTTAGGCAGGAAAGTCCTAGCAAGCTGGTTCTGCAGGTCTTCCTTCCTTTTCTTGTCCAGTATCAGTGAGAATAGACCTTTCCCACTTCCAGTCCCTCCAGTTCCAGCCCCCACCTTTCCAGCTCACCATCACTCCAACTACCACTACCCACCTGATTCCTCCCAACTGCCACTAATTCTCTCTCTCTCTCTCACACTCACACACACAAACCTTAAAAAAACTGGGGATGGATGGGCTAAGGAAAGAGGGAAGGAAGATGTTAAGTAGGACTGTGTGTACTTCTTTTCATAACAACGCCCAAAATAAGGTAAAGTCAGCTAGCTTTGGGTGTCAACATGAACTTGAATCTTGGAGTCCATTTTGGACAGCTTGAGGTCCTCCATTCACCTACTCAACCACACAGCTCCGAGCACATCCCCCCGTCTGCTTAAAACAACCCTCCAGGTCTGATGTCTTCAGGGGGTATCATAGAATCATAGAATATCAGGGTTAGAAGGGACCTCAGGAGGTCATCTAGTCCAACCCTCTGCTCAAAGCAGGACCAATTCCCAACTAAATCATCCCAGCCAGGGTTTTGTCAAGCCTGACCTTAAAAACATCTAAGGAAGGAGATTCCACCACCTCCCTAGGTAACCCATTCCAGTGCTTCACCACCCTCCTAGTGAAAAAGTTTTTCCTAATATCCAACCTAAACCTCCCCCACTGCAACTTGAGACCATTACTCCTTGTTCTGTCGTCTGCTACCACTGAGAACAGTCTAGATCCATCCTCTTTGGAACCCCCTTTCAGGTAGTTGAAAGCAGCTATCAAATTCTCCCTCATTCTTCTCTTCTGCAGACTAAACAATCCTAGTTCCCTCAGCCTCTCCTCATAAGTCATGTGTTCCAGCCCCCTAATCATTTTTGTTGCCCTCCACTGGATTCTTTCCAATTTTTCCACATCCTTCTTGTAGTGTGGGGCCCAAAACTGGACACAGTACTCCAGATGAGATCTCACCAATGACGAATAGAGGGGAATGATCACATCCCTTGATCTGCTGGCAATACCCCTACTTATACAGCCCAAAATGCCGTTAGCCTTCTTGGCAACAAGGGCACACTGTTGACTCATATCCAGCTTCTCGTCCACTGTAACCCCTAGGTCCTTTTCTGCAGAACTGCTTCCTAGCCATTCGGTCTCTAGTCTGTAACAGTGAATGGGATTCTTCCATCCTAAGTGCAGGACTCTGCACTTGTCCTTGTTGAACCTCATCAGCAGGGCCGGCCCTTTCACTAGGCGACCCTAGGCGGTTGCCTAGGGCGGCAGGATGTGGGGGGCGGCATTTCGCCACCCTCTGCAGAATTTTGGCGACGAGGGGCTTCTTCCGCTCTGGGTTGTCGGCGGAAATTCGGCGGCGGGTCCTTCATTCACTCCAGGACCCGCCGCCGAAGTGCCCCGAAGGACCCGTGCCGCCGAGAACGCAGCTTCAGAGGAAGAGCTGCTGCTGATTACTGTGGAGGAGCGCTGCCGCTTAGGGCGGCAAAAACCCTGGCGCCGCTCCTGCTCATCAGGTTTCTTTTGGCCCAATCCTCTAATTTGTCTATGTCCCTCTGTATCCCTACCCTCCAGCGTATCTACCACTCCTCCCAGTTTAGTGTCATCTGCAAACTTGCTGAGAGTGCAGTCCACGCCATCCTTCAGATCATTAAGGTAGGTGATATGCTGGCCAGCTCTCTTCCCCACTCTTAGGCTCACCCTTTTCCTCATGAATAAACTGTTTAGGGAGGGACTGTCTGGTCCACATCATCCCTCTTACCTCTTCTGTAGTTTGCCTATTATACCAGTGCAACCTAACATACCTCTGAGCCTTAGACTGAGGTAGAGGTCAGTGAGGTGGCAGAGACACAAAGAACAGCAATGTTTGTATACTGAGAGGCAGGCAGGTCTCCTATCACCCAGAAAACCCTTATCACGAATCTGTTGAGGGTTTGGACTTGAAGAGGACAGGAGGAGGAAAGGAGTGAGTTGGCAGTCCCTGACGATGTTATGGCGTGGGCAGGTCACTCCTCAATCATGACCCCAGAAGTCACAAAGGTAAGGTATTCACCAGAGGGGGCTTTGTGGGGCTTTATGCATGGAAGGGGACTGCATCTTAAAAGGAGGAAGGCAGAGGTACTGGTAAAACTAATGGGCACTATTATCTTCTTGAGATATCTTATTGTTAAAACAAAAAGGTGGAGAGGAACTGAAGACAGAGGTACAGGGGCAACAGGAAAGAAAAGTGGAGGTTCGAGTTCCTGTTCTCTTCCCCCACCCTACTCCATAGTTCTCTTGCCTCTGAATATATCAAATGTATTTCCCAATATCCTTAGTTAATGGTCATCCCTAAAGTTATGGGGAAATAGTGAATAAGGAGTAGGTATAAACTGTTTACGTTGCCTGTATTTGGAAGCTGATTTTCAACGGGACTTGTGCTCCTCAGCCATTTAGGTGATTTTGAAAATCCCACACTACATAATCATTTGATTTGACCATTTCTGTACTCTGCAATAACTGTAGCGGAAACACACATTTTAAAAACCTCTTATTGAAAATGTCCGTTCTGTTATTGTGTGTAAGATGATTTCAGTTTATCTGTCCATTACTTACAGACTGGAGGGAGCTCATACTCCACTTCTAGAACAACCCTCTCGCCAACATTCTTGAGGAGGCTGATGATCTCGTCATGGCGAAATTTTGTCAGGTTGATTCCATTCACAGATTTGATGTAGTCTCCCACATCCAGCTGGTCACTTCTGCAACAGACACATGTTCTCTTCCATAAACTTGTATGTCATGTTGCCAAAGTAGCAGAGTTGCTTTCAATTACATTTTTAGTGTTGATAAAAATGAATCTTGCCACACAACTAAATTCAAACAAGCAAAACCCTTCTTGTGCTGATTTTCCAAATAGCAGAGTGACATTTCAAGAATTTAATCTAATATAATACATAAAATATATACAAAGAAGAGACGTATTAGAGTATTAAATTTTGATGTAGGAAATCAGGACTGCATAACCATGCCAATTACAGTACTCAGCTATACCTGGGATGATTTCTCTTCCTTCATGTGCTCTTTTAACCTCCCTCCCCTTCCCCCGCCCCCAACACCACCCACCACCTCTCTCTGTTTGGGCTACTGCCAGAAGTATTTTCTGGACAAGTTGTTGCCTCCACAGCCAACATCACAACTACAGCAGGTAAGCCAGAGCCCATTGGCACATGTTCTGCTCAGTTACTTGGAATGATTTGCCTTAATCTGGGTCTCTCCAGCTGCATCTCTCCCCAGTTACAGCTTGTTCTGCTTTCTCTGTAGAAGCAGGCAAGTGATATATATATATATATATATATTTTAAATCTTTAATAAACAGGTCATCAACAGTCATTTGAAACTATGATACCACCTTATCTGAACTTTTCAACTATATTTTTTCCTTGACATTATAATGTGTTTTTATAGGTTTTATTCAAGGACAACAATTCATTAAATTTAAACCATTTATAAGAAATTAAATTATTCTTGAAATGATGCATCATCAGTATTTCTGGCTTTTTATCAGAGCAGCCTTGAGGGACGCAACGGTTCAACTACTATTGAAATGTTTCTTATATCGCTTCTCTGCTCTGATGTGCTGCCTTACAGATGCTGGTAGTCACTTATTTATTAGTGACCTTTTTGATGCGGTATGTATTTTTTGAAGCAATCACATCTTATAATGTATTTTGTGGCTTCAGATGTGGTTACCTAGCAGCGATTCCTCCTTGACGAAGGTTAGATACTCTTGGTTTCCCATCCTTGTCAATTCCACCCGATACCGTAAGCCCTAGGGTGGTGCCTTCTTTTTTCATTAATTCAACTATTGTTGAGCCCTTGAATTCCTCTGTTGAAAGAAAATTATTGGCGTTATTAAAATTTAAATTGTATTACAGATGTTGCTTTTTTAAAAAACTATTTCATCTACCTCCCAAGGAAGTAATTTTGTATTTTAATAGCGGAAAATGTGTATATCTGCCTGCTTTTTATAATACAATTCACAGGCTTGGGCTACAAAGCTCTATGTATAGATAAATCTGATGTAGATATTCCATAACAGATTATTAAAAAATGCACCAATAGGCTAGTATACTCCAGACTGCCAAAAAATACAAAGTGTGGCAAGGCTTACATAAAAGGTAATTTTTCTGTATTCTATTTCACATTCTCAAATCGCTTTCTTTTCTTTGATTTCTCTTTCTAAAACCAAGGTTTAAATTATACACTTTTGTTGGATAACAAATTGCTGGGATAAAATAAATAGCGGGCAAATGATGTAACTGAATTTTGGATCCAGACTAATTTTGAGGCCATTACTATATGTCCAGAATAATCAGGCATAATAAGATTTCAGGAAGAAATAAAATGTATCAGGTCCAATCAGTTCTCTCTCTAAGATAAACAGAGTTCCACTTTAATCTACAGATGAAAGGTGTTAGTTAAATGCTATTTAATTGTTATTAATTTAAGATCCAGTTCTGTCAGCTTTATATTGAGTAACACCTTTCTCTACAAGTAGTCTGACTGATATTAATGGGACACTTGCAGACTAAAGTGCTACTCCTGTGAGTAAGGGTGGTAGAATCTGGCTCAGAAGTGTCCAATAATGCCACACAGCATGCGTTGTCTTCTAAAGCCTGATTTTGAAAGGTAGCCTCAACTATAATTATTTGGGCACAATTTTGCACCCACAATTGCCAATGCAAAATCAGAGGTTGAATGGGGTCCCATTTACAGGCAGGGCCTCGAGATACACAGACTTGTAAATGTGTGTTTTAAAAGTAGTGGCCTGTATCTACAATGAAGTGTATCATATTAGTCATTGAGACTCCTCAAAATGCACTGAAAAATCTATCCCTGTAAATCAATACTTCTAGCATTAGGAAACACCATGGAACAAAATATTGCTGTGCTTTTTCCCCCCTTTATAAAAATCTGAAAGTGAATTTAGTGCCCATGAAAGTAAGTTAATGGTGGTACTAGCCTGAGCCAAGCACAGTGTTCATTTGTGTGGACAGTATGTAAGAATCTTTATAGAGCAGTGCCAATGCAATATCGTTGACCTGTAAACACCCCTGCTATTCCAGTCTTAAGAGAGAGGAGGAGACAGGCAATTGTGGCCAATTGTGGGGTGGTTTATAAGGATGTGCACAAATGTGGACAAGGAAAGGTCTTCCAGCCTTATTTTAAATTTGCAACTAATATGGGAACTGAAATTAGAAAAGAAAATTCTATTATTTGTCAAACTACAGAGTGGAATAAATGACATGAGTTCAGAAAATTCAGTGAATCATAGCCTAAGGCTGAACATACTTATAGGTCTATTTTCCATAATCAGCTATAATAGAGACCTCAGTGGGTTAGGTAGCTTAGTGGTTAGTACCCTGAGTGCCAACCCCCCCAGCAGGCACGTCTTGCAGTCCAGGCCCTCTTTTAATCAGAAGTGCAGTGAGGTGGGCAGCGGTAGGGGAGCCCTGGACCGCTCACTCCACCAAGCTGTGATCCAGGGCCCAAGGAGGGTCAACAGTGTCTGGTCCCCACAGATACCTTCTGAGTTACCCTCCGTAGGTCACTTCCTACTGTCTGCTGTTCTTCCCCAGCTTACAGTTCAATATGAGGTGAAAAGAAAAAGCTGCTGAGACAGAGAACAGGATGTTCCTCTCCTCTGAATTCTTGAGATAGCACAACTCTGAATCTGACATTGGATGCATCTGTTTGGAGAATAAAGGGCTTCGAGAAGTCTGGGGGGAATAGTAGTGGCTCCTGGGTCAACTGGTCTTGTAGTGTACTAAATGCCTTGACACAGCTTTTGGTCCAATGGACCCTTTTGGTGTGGTATCCTTCACCAGGTCTGTCAAAAGGGCAGCAATGGTCATGAAGTTTGGGATGTACTTCCTCTAGTACCCCACTAATCCCTCCAAATGCTGGACTTGCTTTTTTGTGGAAGGGATGGGGCAGCCCGTTAGGGCTTGGACTTTGTCCACAAGGGTTTGTAGCTGCCCTCCTCCCACCACGGTATACCCTGGGTAGGTGACTTCTTGGGTGGCCAGCCGACATTTGGTTGGGTTGACCATCAAACGTGCCTGCTTGAGAGCCGTAACACCGCACCAATGTGTTCCATGTGCTCGGCCCAGCTCTCATTGTAGATGACAATATTGTCAATGTAGATATCCACAGTACACGACCCATGCGGCCACAGTACTCTGTCCATCAGCCACTGGAAAAGTGACAGTGACCCCATGAAGTCTACAGGGCATGGTTTCAAACTGATATAGCCCCCATGGTGCAGAGAAGGTCTTTTTTTCTTTTCTTTATGGAGATATACCTATCTCATAGAACTGGAAGGGACCCTGAAAGGTCATCGAGTCCAGTCCCCTGCCTTCACTAGCAGGACCAAGTACCGATTTTGCCCCAGATCCCTAAGTGGCCCTCTTAAGGATTGAACTCACAATCCTGGGTTTAGCAGGCCAATGCTCAAACCACTGAGCTATCCCTTTAGACTTAGGTGTCAAGGGGATTTGCTAACATGAACAACGACAGCTCCCGTTCCTGACTGGATAGGAAGGTCTTGGGGTATCTGGTGGCATAGTCCAAGATTACCAATGTATTTGTGCCCTGCTGCAGACTTCTCTACAGGCCGATCACGTCTATTCCTGTTCTCTTGAAGGGTACTTCCACAATGGATAGTGGTACCAGGAGGGCTTTTGGGACCTATTTCTGGCCTGTCCACTGACATTATGGACATGAAGCACAATAGTCTCACACCTCTTCATGGATGCCTGGTCAGCAGAACCTCATGGTCACACTGTCAAGAGTCTTCTTCCTCCCCAAGTGACCTCCACATGGGGCTGTGTGGGCCAATGCAGCACCCTCTTCCAGAATTTCTTGTTTTTCCTGTCTTAGGATCCTTCATTGCCCAGTATGCCGTCTCCCCTATCAGTTAAAAATGGGGCCACTGTTTCAACTGCTGCGGGTCTAGTGCTTTACCACCTGCATGGGCAAGTTGCTCATAAACATTGCTCAGGGTCGGGTCATTTCTTCTTTCTTCCACAAAGTCCCCCTCATTGGACAGCAGGTCTAGGTTGGAAGGTGGCGGCGAATGCTTATGGCCCCAGTTGGGTTCAGGCAATGGGTCCTTTATCTGTGAAGATGGTCCTACTCGAGGGTGTTGGTCCTCCGAGCTCCTTCCTTCTTATGGCCCCCTCGGCTACCCCTGCCTTCCAGGGTCTTCCGGCTTCAGCTATGCCTTTTTTACAGGGGCAACTCACCACCCTTTGACCACTTCTTCAAAGAACTTCCAGTTGTGCCCAAGTATGACCAGGTAGGCCAGGCCTTTTGCCAATCCAGCCTGCATCATTTCAGTATGTTCTTGCATGGCCAGTTGTACTTCTCTTTGGATAGAATTGTACATCTCCATGGATACACTGGAGATAGATTATGTTCCCAGTTGTACCTCCCGTCCTCAGCAGCCTCTCCCAGACCAAAGTCTGACTACAGAATGAGTTTATCAGACCATATACTGCTACACCATTCATTTGTACTGGGACCAAGATCTTCCTAGGGCCCCTCTTCCAAGCCCTGTTATCGGCTGTCCAGGCCTGTCCATAATCACAGTCCATGAATAAGAAGCCCTTTCTGAAATATCCTTGCTGAACACATACAAAACAGCTCCCAGTGGGAGGAATTGGTCTCTCTGTTGATTCTCTCAAGGGGAGAAATCCCTTTGGATAAGGTCATTCAGCCAGGCCAACCACAGCCCTCTTGGTCAGTGGAGGGTGGACTTCCAGGCTCTTCTCTTGGCCTTTGTGCCTCCCTCCACTAGAGTTGGGTGTCCAAACCTCCCTAATTACCTTTGTCAGAGTTCGGGCATTGGTACTCTGCGGGGACTGGGGCTTCATAGGACTGACTTTTGGTGTTTCTGCCTCTAGCCCGAGGAACATCAGGTAAATCTCTGCCAATGACACTGCCTTGGCCAAAGTTTCTGACCAATGTCTTACCACCCACTTGCACAACCCCTCTGGAAGGATTTAAGTGAATTGTTCTACAATGAGCTTTTCTGTCACCTGGTCTCCTGTACACATCTCTGACTGGAGCCATCGCCAGCAGTGTTTCTTCAGAGTCTGGGCAACGGCCCGTGTCTGCGCACGGGAAAAAATTTCTCAAGGTGGAACTGCTGTCGGTAGGTTTCTAGTGAGATGCTGGAGGCATCTAGGATGGCTGCTTTGACATGAGAGTAGTCCTGAGCAGTTGTCGCATGAAGACTCTGATACACCTCTCGGGACAGTCTGGTTAAGTAGGGGGCCAACAGAGCATCCTAGGATTTTATAATTGTACTATGATAATTAATTATGATTTGATTTCATTCTGCCAGCCACCCTTTTTGAGTAGCAGAAAGGAATGACCCTCTGGGACTATGGGATTCTGTTTCCCATATGCATTACAAATTGGGCCCTTTTTAGTTCTTTGTTTTAAGGTTTAGTAAGTAAGAGACAGGATCCTGTAGTGTGTTTATGTTAAGTAGATTAGAGGAACATTGAAGGCCTGGGTCTCAATGTGAATTGTTTTGGTTATAAAACTTAGCAAGGTTTAATTTACAATGTCTTTTTGCTCGATATAAAATACTGCTGTTTGTATTCTCAAAGGTCTCTGTAAAAGACTGTGTGAATGAGGAATGCATGCATCAGGAAAAGAGAAGGTGTGAAGGCCATTGTTAACCAGATGGTCAAGAAAGGAGGAGTGAAGACACTTATTGAGACTTATTGACACCAGAGAACCATCAACGCACATCTATGATTGAGGAAGGGCAGATTGACGACCTTGAGGTGGAGGCTGGCACAACTAAAGTCA